GCTGCAATTGAGCGTCGCCTGGCAGTACGTGATTGCAGACACTGCTGGGCAACACGAATGGCAGCACGCGTGGAGCGCGCATTGACAGACAATAGCGGCCGTCTGGACTTACGAACCGCACGAACCCGGCGACCCCTAATCACCCGAGCACGTGCAGGTTTGCGTGAGCGATAGCTAAACCAAGCTAGCCGAAGCGTGCTCAAACCAATCAAAACTGGACACAATGCGGTGCAAACAAGGCTCAATCCTATGCACACTGCACATGTCACAAGGCTCATGGGTTGCATGCTGTCAGCCAAGCACAAGAAACTGCAAAGCCACACTGCTATGACAACAAGCATGCTGAGCACATTGGAATCTGGCCTGTCACCACCGGCAAGGTAGTGCTCTCGACAGGCTATAGTGCCCACCTCTGTGGCTGCTGCTAGGCCCTACGAGGTAAGCCCAGCCGCCCAGAAGGGATCTCCCTCTCTTGCTCCTTCGAGGAGCCGTCTGGCGCGAGTCCAGATGTAAATTGCGTGCGCATCCCTCGGAGTTTCTTGCGTTGCCAAAGTCAAAAAGTCACGAGCAGTAACGGTCATGAAGGATAAATTATGATTGGGACCATGCATGACAATATGAGGACGCCAAGACTATCAACAAGAACACTTTTTTGGGAGTGTCTTGGGAGAAGATGGATGTTCTGAAGAGAGTCAGGATTTCGGAATGTTCCAACGGATTTTGCCTTCAAACCTTTGCCTAAACCCCAAGGCCTAGTGTTCTCCGTTGCTGAACAAAAACCAGGGACGAATTTACTAAAGCTCAAAATCCCAAACCCGGGAGCCCTGAAACCAAAACTTTTACACCTAAATCTTGGATTCTAAGCCTTAAAGCTTAACCCAACCCGAAACTTCAAATCCAAAACCCTAAACCCTACAGACCTAAACCCGCGCGCAGAATTGAATGGCCTTTCCTGGCCCAAGGCGAAGAGGAAGTGTCGGAACTTAGCGACCTCCAAGGCTGCGACCTCCAGGCCTATTTCAGAGGTTGATAAAAGGGTCTTGGTTTAGGGTTAATCGTTTATGGTTCAGGATTTTGGTTTAGAAACTTTGGACCCAATAACAGTCATATGACGACTATAGTTTCCAATCTTGGGGGGCGGTGCTTATCAACGTCCCATCCACTACATGTGAAGCTTCCTCCATCAAACACTCCAACATACAAGCAGTATTCGTACACTCCAACCAAAACCTCTTGTAGCTAAATAGACTCCTGCATAGTTCCTGTTCAGAATCTATTCCCCGCCGTTCAGGCAGACCAGCTGTTTGGCCCTCGAAAGGCAGGGAGATGTTTAGGTTTAGGGTTGATGGGGTTTGTTTTGCGTTTCAGGGATTTTTGAGTTTGAGGTACCATTTGAACGCTGCTTTGGTTGAGAGACTCTTGCGAACTGGACTTCGCTCTAGCTGCATCACACTGTGATGCTTCCGACGACAACTTACACTGTTGTGGCTGGCTGTCATCAGGATCTCGCACCATCAGGGGACTTGCTGTTTGATTCCAGAAGCACGCTTACTTGCATCAAGGATTATGCTTGTTGCTTTTCAGGGCTGATGTGTGTGAATCTTTTTTTGAATGAAATAGATCAATTTTCTTATTTTGGAAGTGCACCACCGGATTTTTAGTTATTTTACATGCCTGTCCTGCGGTTTTTTATAGGGGCCGGTAAAGAGCCGCTGTTCCTGAGGGTCTGCAGTTTAATCTATGCTTAGAAGCTCACGGGTAGTCTCGAGTAGATTTAAGGCTAGGGTTTAGGGTCTAGGGCAGATAAAGTTCCAATCATTTTTTGGCAGCTGTTTAACCCTAAGCCCTAAACCCTCTCCCTTGATGAAGGGTCATGGGAGCCTACGGGCCTGCGCGGCATGCAATGGAAGGACAAGACCCCCTGGACCTATATTCCCCCTTAAGTAGATAGAATATGGGGCATATGGGGATCTTATCATAATATACCCAAAGCCGTATTCTAATTACTGAAGAGGGACTAAACCCGACATTCCTCAGGGTATCGTAGTTGTATTTTAGGTCATGCAAGGTTTCATGCATCAACCCCAACCTCCTATCGATCCACGGCACCCTAGACCCTACACCCCAAACTCTTATCCATCAACAGATTCGCCAACCATTTTCAAAGGACCGGATCCCTGGCTTTGCGCGGGAACCAGGACCACCTTCAAACCTGGATACGAGGGTTCAGGGTGCTCGCTCTTTAGGTATTCTGTGTTGTTGTTTTGATTGGGGGCTTCGGGGTTGGGGATGTTTCGGGGTGGCTTAATGTATTATCTCCTTCTCATCTAATATGAGGGACGAAAAATCTTCCCCAAGCCCTATTTGAAGTCTTCGGGTCCCTACATTAAGAATTTGAGATACCCCAAACCCTAAACCCTTGGTTAAGGGTTTGAGACTTGGGATTCAGGCTTCTGAGTCGAGCATTGTGGATGGGGCTTAAGGGCTGGCGTTCAGAGTCAGGGTGCTATTGCTATTTCGTCTGGTAGAAGCGACCCACATAGGAGTTTAGGGTTTCATGTAGACCCATGATTAATGAACTCCCTCCCTTTCACAGCCCTAATACTAGGATCCCTATTATAATTCCTGTTAAGGGGAGGCGGTTTATTAAGTAGGGGTCTACATTAGGGGCTAGGGTTCTACGAAGCACGGGCTTCAGAAGGGGGCTCACCCGGAGGATTTGTCTCGAAGGGTCTGCTGTGAGGGATCCATAACATGGGCCAATGGTACAGCACGTTGGTTACTTGCATGGAAGGCAATGAGGGAGCCAAAAAAGAAAACATTTAACCCTAAACCCTAAACCCTAAACATTCTTGTGGTTTACACTCCGATGCGCTACTTGGTCCTGTGTGGGTCCGCCTGGAGGCTTCTTCACACTTAGTCCTCTCCTTTTAGAATACCCCCAAGCTCCCCGATAGTACATGCTGCCCACGTACAAATTTGCAGTACATCGGCTTAGGGGCTTTAGCCCTACACCCTAAACCTCAGACTCTAAACCGAAAGCCCCAAGCCCAAACCCTTGCAAAACCATATGGTGGCTGTCAACATGCAGGCTTCGATTCGCTAATTCTGGCGCACGAGTACTGCTGCCTGGCTACATCTGACAGTAGCGCAGGGTTCAGGATCTAGGGTGTAGGGTTAGGGGGTCTTGGTCTAGGGTCTAGGAATTCGAGTTTAAGATTTTAGGGTTTAGGGCTTCGGGTTTTGGGGTTTAGGCTTGAGGGTTGGGGGAGTAGGGCGTTTAGGGTTTTGGCTCTACGTAGTCTGTTGACGGTTTAGGGTGTAGGGTCTGGTCATCAATGCCGAGAAACATTGTTGAATCTATGACTGCTTTACACTTTACTCAAAGGAATGCCCCAAGAAAACAAGAAAAAATCCCTAAGTAGTACCTTCATATAGTATTGGGATGCCTGTCCCTAGCCTTTCTCTTGTTGGTGTTCTGCTGGCCAGGGTTCCGTCTTTTTGAGTTTGGCGTTAAGGTTAAACTCTTTGCCTCAGGCCCTCGCCCAGTAACTACCCATATCCTTTCTGTTCATCTAAAGTGGTTGGGGCCTAAACCCTAAACCCCTACATAACTTAAGTCAAGCCCTTCATCAAGGACAAGGGAGTGTGGAGCCAGAGCTAGTCATGCAAATGTGGTCCCTTTCGGGGTAGCCTGACTCTTAGGCCTGTGTTCCAACATGATCCCGAAATTGGGTGCATGCTTTTGACAAGCTCATCCCGTGAAAGTTTCTGGTATAGGGCGTAGGGTTCAGGGTAGAGCTCCCCTACAATGGCATCCCGGCGTCCCTCAGGATAAACCTCCCTCATAATCGCCCTCACCCCCTAATAATGATGCGAGCAATATAGTGCCTTTGTTCAGTACGGTGAATGTTTGTAATTAGGTGGTGGGTCTTTTGGGGGGAGTGATTAGAGGGTTTGAGCAAGATGACTGAACAAGCATGGATTAGTCACATGTGATGCATCCTAGTCCGCAAGCCTAAGCCTCAATCCGTGTCTTCTTCTGTGAGCCTCAAACCCTAGACCCTAGCCCCAAAACCCTAAACCCCACTGTTCCATGAAGGTGCAGACTGCCAAACAGACAGACCCCCTCCCCGCCCGATGTGGATTGTTTGTACTTTCCTTGCCACTCGTTTGCGCCTTGCGTGCTAGGCTCTGAGCCTTAACACTCAAACACCCTAAACCTCAAAGCTTAAACCCTAAACCCTGAACTTTAAACCCTAAATCCTGAACTCTAAGACGTAAACCCAAAACCCACCTTAAACCCTATACCCTAGACCTTAAACCCGAAATCCCACCCCGCAACCTCAGCCAGGCTTCGGACGGAAGAGACATTTGCCCCCACCAGCGCCTCCGCTTTGGGATTGTGGCATGCTGCTCTTTCTGCAGAGCCCCGGCAGGTCTAGATGAGCTGCTATGCTTTTTCCATCAATTTGGGGGTTTAGGGTCTAGGGTTTAGGGTGTAGGTTTAGGGCCACTAAACCCTAAACCCTGACAGTTTTTTCTGGTCCTTATGATAGGATGGACGAGGCTGGGAGAGATTGTTTTTGGCAGTCTCATTTTAAGGTAAGGGGATTCAAGCTTAGGGTTCAGGGCTGCTTAAGGTAGGGTCTCTGATATGGTTTCCGGTGCGTGTATATATATATATATGGTTCCTTAACCATGTTGTTGTGTGTATATAGTCGGTGTCCAGTTGCGATGGCCATAAATACGAAGTCTGCTTCATGTGGAACCATGTGAAACGCGTGGAAAGCTATTGGCACTTTTGGAGCATCAGTTATACCAATACAACTAGCATGGAACCCTCGTTGTGGAAGCTAAAGCCTGAACCCTCACCCCCAACTCCTTCGACCCTAATCAAGAATAGAGACGCTGGTCGTTGCTCTACAGGTTTTTAGGACGAAGTTGTATCAGTTAAGTACAACACCTGGGCCCCCAAGCATACAAAGAATGCGAGTGTCCCTACTCCTGCAAGCTTTTAACGCTTGTATGTTGGATGCAGGAAATCTTGGATGTTATTATAGTATACCCAAAGCCATATTCTATTTACTTAAGGGGGACTCTAGTTGTGGAGCTTCAAATTTTTCCCTTTTCAAGCAGCTTCCAGATTTGTTACACGTGTTTGCCGCATCGCGTTCCAAGCCCTCAAGCCCTAAAGCAGGTTGTACATGAGGTTTCCTTTAGTACGGGATAATAGCCTCACCTGTTTCAATCGTCATTGTAGGAGCATTCACAAGGGACCCCGACCCTAAACCCCAAAACCCAAATCCCAAAGCCCCAAGCCCTAAACCCTGAACCCTAAACGGAATCCCCCACATGTTTTGGGCAGGCCTCAGCCTCCGAAAGTTGCCAATGGTGAGTTGGGCCCAAGACGCGATGACCAGAATTCGGGAAAATTGCCCTACATGCTGAAACCCATAGACACCAAAAAAACCGAAAGCCCTAAAGTGCCACCATGCTCGAACCCCGAAACCGCCTATACCCTTACAGTTTTTTTTGGCATGCGCAGTCCTAAACCCTAAGCCCTAAACCCAAAATCCTAAACCCTGAACCCTAAACCCTAGAGCCCTAAACCTTAAACCGCCAGGATCTATTTGTTCCTTATAGCCGCTGGGCGTGCAGAAATGCCTTGCTGAAATGCAGGTTTCTTATTCGGCTTGCGGTTGAGCCCATTGGGGCAATATTGGGGTTGTATTGGGCTAATGGAAAAGAGAACGGAAACTACAATTTAGGGCTTAGAGATTTAAGTACTTGGGGTTGGGTTTATTGTGTAGGGGTTACGGAATTAGGTACTTGGGGTTTAGGGATGTAGGTACTTAGGGTGTATGGTTTAGAGTTTAGGGTTCATGGTTTAGGGGTTTAGGGGTTTAGGGGTTTGGGGTTCAGGGTTTAGGGGTCTAGGGCTTAGCGTTTAGGCTATGCCCCCCCACCCAGTAGCATTGGAATAGTCGGCAAATATAGCAGGAACTGAATATAATTTAAGGTATCCCTTGTTGTGCATTTAAGTCGGGTGGGAAGCCCTAAACCCTAAACCCTAAACCTTACACCTTGAGCCCTACAGGGTGCAGGTTTGGGGTCCAAAGTTCGTCAGACGGAGATCTGTTATCTCCTTATCATTCCCTGTCAATCCATTCAATTCCTGAGAGCACCCGTGTTCTGAGAAATCTCATAGCAAATACAGGGTCCAGTGCTGTTCTCTAAGCCCTAACCCCTTTAACGCATTGATTCAAAGCTTCGATTGAAGTTGGCGGCCCAAGCAGGACCGGTCACGCGGCAAAGCAAAAGCGTATGCAGCTTAGTGTTTAGGTCTCTAAACACTGAGCCCGGCCATGGCATACTTTCTTGGTTTGGAGTGATCACTCAGCTTCTAGATGGATCATAGGACATAAACACCCTAAACCCTAAATCCCTAAACCCTAAACCTATCTCTGCAATTTCCGCTCTGACTTGCGCTGTGGCAAAGCCCTGACTGGGTTGTTCTTAGGAGGACTCCCCTCCCCGTAATATTAAAAGAGCACGCCGGCCCTCCCAATCTTAAACATGTCGTGTTGTGGTAGTATAGACTTAACGCATAGGGAAAGTTTAATATCACGGGAGTGGGAGGTTTTTACTACGAGGGCAAGCGATTACTGGGCTGCTCTCGTGAAAGTTCCATGCCTCATGTGGCAAAGGTTTTTTCCCGTTTTTTCCCGGAGTAGAAGTGGATTTGCAAGAAAAGCTTCCGACCTTTTCATGATTTTGATCATCCCACGTGGTCACTATGAATTACTGGGTGGAGGGATCACCAAAAGTGTGGCAGCCCGACTAAACCCTAAACCCTGAACCCTAGACCCTGAACCCGGAACCCTAAGCCCTAAACCAAAAAAGCTGAACCCTAAACCCTGAACCCTTAACCTTAAACTCTAAAAATTAAACCCTAAACCCTAAACCTCAAACTTACAACTGTGTGGCGAAGGTCCTCACTCTCTTGACGACTGTGCTGCTGGTATTCTCAGCCCTGGCAGACACTTTCTGGTACATGAGGTGGGATTTAGGGTTTAGGGCTAGGGGTTTAGGGTTACGGGTTCAGGGTTTGGGTTTAGGGTCTTGAGTTTAGGGTCGAGCATTCACGGTTCATGAGCAGGAAACCTTGAACCCCAAGTCTTGATCCATAAATCTTTATCTCAAATCCCGAAACCTCAAACCCGAAACCCCAAAGCTCAGACTGCAGCCCTGAAAATTGAAAAGCCTGAGCCCCAAACCTAAAGTCCTACAAGCCGCCAAATCTGAGTCCCAAAGCCTCAAACCCAAAACACTAAACTCTGAATCCGAGCTTGGATTTCTGCGGCAGGTTCACCTTTGATACCAAGTGGGGCTTCGCACTGGCTGAAGGCTGGTTTTTAGGGTTTGGCTTTAGGGGTTTAGGGGTTAAGGGTTTAGAGATTAGGGTTTAAGGTTTAGGGGTGTAGGGGTTTTGGGGCTCAGGGTTTAGGCGACAATCATGTGCGAAGCTGACGCTGGAATGCCAGCACGTCTATTCTAGGAGTTCATTTTTCCAGGCACACGCAGTGTTCCGCTGGAGCGGATGGCTTGCCGTAAGAAGCCGGCACACTTCATGACTAACTCATAGTCATAGTCATTGCTGTTTTTTGCTACCATTATTGTCGTTGTTGCTATTAGTACCATTATGGTGAAAAGTTTTGTTATTACTATTATTCCTGTTATTCTTATTCTTACTATTATTAACATTGTCTGTTTCACCCTCCATCGTAAGATACCTGTTCTTCTAAACGTTAAAGCACCAACCCTACACGCTCCAACCCCTTAAGCCTTAGGCCTTCGGAACCCGAACCTCTAAACTCCTCAAAAGGGGTTAATAGGGGAGTATTACAGGGCTTACTAAGGAGTTAGACTAGAGCTCACATATGTGTTTCCAACAGTTAGGGTTCCCTTATTCAAGAATCATAGTGTATTGGGATTCTAAGTTGCCAGAATATTAGTATACGATAGATGCTGTCGTCTCCTTCGAACAGCACCTTCTTTCAAGTTCCTTAACAGCAACCCCTAAACCCTAAACCCTAAATTCCCACCTGGCCTGCTTAGGCCGTTCCCACCCATTCCTGAGACCCCGCCTGCGGCGGGCCCACTATGATGTTTACTTGAAATGAAAAGCAGGCGATCTTATGGAGGTGAGAATCGAGGGCGTAGCCCTAAACACTAACAGGAACTACCTGGGTTGTAGCCTGTGATGTCTCACAG